AATTTACAACTTTTACTACTTTTCTTGATAACTTCTTGGGGAACTTTAAACACTGCATCAGTAATAAACCTATCTAATTTTATGGTGAGTGGACACTGCAAGCAAGATCCTTCTCATTGAATATTAATCACTGAATTCATTTGCATATATTTTCCTTATTTCTTGTGTCTGACCGCCAACATGGATTTGAAAAAGAGCCATTCACCTGCACTGAATAGTTTAATGTTTTAATTAATAAAAAGATGGAGAGCTTGAATGTGTAAATGTCTGGTCTTTATTCACGGTGAATTAACTTTGCCGTCAGGATAAATCTGAAGGATCTTGTTTGAGGTGAGAGGAGCAAAGCCAAAACAGCTAAATAATAAACAACAAACAAAGCAATGCCTAATGTTTGGTTGAAAAGTTAAAGAAAACAGCCTCCAAGACAAATTATTAGCTCATGACTTCCTTTTTATTTCCTTTAAAAGCAATGACGGTGACCAGGGACATTTAAAAATAAGATCGGGCTTTCTCTTCTGGGTTAGCATAGCCACAGTCTACCCTACTTTACCTCCTATATTGTGTAGTGAATCAATTACTTTGCATACATGTTTTACACCAGATGCCCTTCCATTGGATACCGTTTTTGGTTGTTGCCAAATTGTAGGTCATCTGTGTGCCCACCATTTTCGGACAGAACTTAAACAGAGTCAGGGCTGTAGTCATTAGTAATCTGTTCTCTGTTGGAATGATCTATATCTATATAATGTAAATATTTAAATTTGTAAATTTGTATTTGCAATGCTGTTGATGTACTCCCTCCACTGGTGGTGGGTTTGGGTGATTTTTTTAGCTGTATTTAAATGTTACATGAGCCATTTTATGAAGTACCTGCACACTGTTATCTGTTACTTTACCTCTGTTCAGGGACTACAGATGAAAGTTAACCTAACTTATAAAGTGGTTATATATTGATATATTATTATGTTGATCTGAAAATAATGAAACATTTTACTGCGTCCATGATTATAATAGACTGTAAAGAAGCTCAGATTTGTATGTGTCTATGCGACATATGTTCATCAAAAAGGGGTTTGTTGTTTGTTTTGATGTAGTCTGAAATAAATAAAGTAGGAGTTAATTTTCCTCAGTATCAAAATCAAGTTTGAAGTTTCAGCATTGTGACTAGACAAATGGCTGCCATTTTGAAAAGGACAATATGTTGGACTTGGAGTTGACTCTGTTCCATTACCTTCAGTTTTGGAGGTAACAACAGCATGTATATATTCTATATTCTATTTTGTTTTTCAGTTGTGAAGCTTTAATGTGTACCTCTATTGAAAAAAAAAAAAAAAAAATATATATATATATATATATATATATATATATATATATATATATATATATATATATATATATATATATATATATATATATAGTGTTTGTTTTTTTTTTTAACCTTTTTTGGCTCTGACAGGCAGGAGAGTGTGTTGAAATGACATGGAGTTGACATTTTGTGACATTAGCTGTACCCGGTGAGACACTAGGATTCTTATATAAAACACCTTGCTACACTCTCTTGACAGATTTTGGTTTTACTGTGGCCAGTGCCTCCAGACAGGTCTGAGGGTTGGAAATGCAATGGTAACTGGTATTCAGTTTCGCAATACATTTTTTTACTATTGCTATTTTGTTATTATTAAAGATATAATATCTAACTTTTATGGTGCAGTATCCACCACTGGGTCTCCATGGAGTGTTAGTTAAACATTGTCAATTATGTGTTTTATTCAATTATGTGTTTTTCTTACTAAAAGAAATTTGAAAAACATGCAAGCCTTCTCTGATATTGTTAAGTTCTCTTGTGATGTGTATCCCTTGGTGGTATCACCTGCTTATCTCCATAGATGTAGGTAAATGCCATTCTGTGGAATATTCCAATTAGACTTCCATGGAGATATGTTGTATATCTTTTTAAATATTTTTACTAGCCTTAGTGCCTATTTCTAGTAAACCAGCCTTGCTCATAAAGTATTAATCCCCAGCCCATCTGTGAGAGCTATTGTAGTAACAACATATTGCTTTTTCACATTTGATCATTTATTGATAGCTCTACCTTCAACGTCAAAATTAAAATAGCGTTATGTCCGTGCGTCCGGCCGCATCAATATGCAATGTGCTGTAGCCTCCGTCTGACTCAACACTTCCCAGTAATGACACCAGCTTCATTGTCATTGACAGAAGATGGATCTAGTAATAATTGATGCTGCCATATAAGACCATAGCGCGAGTGAGGAAGAAGCCAGAGGAGCATCGCAGCTGTCATAATTAGGCTGGGACAGATGGCAAGAAACTTTTGAAGATGAAGTTGTTTCCTGTGAATCTTTTGTGTATTTTTTGCTTCTTGGCTTGTCACCTAATCCTTGACAATTTTGTTCTCTAACTTTTACATGAACGTCAGCCAATAGCTCTGGGACGCAGCAGCTAGCATCTGTCAGTCTATGCCCATAATATTGTGAGGAGTCTTTGAGACAGAGGAGATACGTGGTGAATTTGGGGTAGACTCAAACAAAATTCATGTTTGAAAATCTGCACAGGCTAAAAAGATTTAAGAAGGCTTTAAGAAATGATCAAAGGTGCATGACAGGAATACAGATCGCCATTAACTTTATTCAGTTAGGCGCAGGTAGTATTTTAATTTGTCAAGCGGAATTCTCCATATTTGCCCATTGCTACCACATGATCACTTGACTAGCCCAAGCTACGCCAAGTCCCATCAAATAAAATGTTCCATTAGATGCTTCTCAGTCACCTTTGTGTCTCAGTCAAAGGTCTCAGTATAGTTTAACAGGAGCACTGGTCAAGTTGGGTCAGCAGATCTGTGTCAGAGATGACTGAGGAGAGGAAGAGCCAAAAGTCTCTCCTTTGTATCCTGCAGCCCGGGCATCACAGCAGTGTCCAAGGGGGAAACCAAGTGAACACAACAGGAAAGACCTAGTTCTTTCTCTACTCTGTTGTTTCGGTTGGTCATGAAATGGTTCATTCCCTCAAAGTATTTCCTTTGGAAGGTTTCAGAGTATTTCCTCTGGAAGCTCAAGTAAAAGTAGTGGTCACTATACCAGAACCGCACATCAAATATATGTATAAATATATATAAGTAATAGCATCTTATCTTAAAATCCAAATTATTTCAAGTGAAGAAAATTATATATTTAAGGTCCAATAGGTCCAATTTCAAGTCATTATACACAAGTGACATACCTCACTTACTGCAGTTTCAGTGAACTTTAACTTTTACAACTCTTTATTTCACATTTTTACACTGAGAGCTTTATTAAAGTCAAGTTTAGTCAAAAACACACTAATGACTCTATTTAACTCTCATACCTGTACTTCAATTGTTCATTTTACCTGATAGTTAATGTAACCAGATCACATACCTACCTGTAATTAAAAGTGCTATTTTAAATGTCACCATCTCCAGCACATTACAGTTGGAGAGTTAACTTAATCACAGCAATCAAACCTAAATCTTACTTAACCTCTCACTCAATAGAAATGAAGTTGTGAATATTGTGGAGTGGTTCGACATTTCGCATACACAGAAATGAGAAAGCCCGGAGTTAGACAGTGCATGAGTGGAATATGAAAAGGCATTGTATGAAAGGTTAATGAAGGGGAGGAGGGGTCTCTGTCATGTGACACTTGAGGTCTGAGGAGTCTAAAGGAGCAGTCCAAGTGTCAGGGAAATCTGGGCTACTCTGAAGCTGAATACAGAGAGGACAGAGAAAGGCCAAAAACACAACACAAAACAGAAAAATATCAGTGAATAAATACAAACTGAATGAAGTAACTTAAACAAAATGCAAAATGGAACTGTGAAAGTGAGTAAAGCATAATCAAAATTTCCTCTAGTAATTGTGTAAAAATTGTATTTTAAAAGCAATGTTTTGATTATTTTAGATATATATATATAACTGCCTTAAAATTGAATCAACAGCATTGTAAAAAATCTGAACATGCGAAAATGAAAAAAAGTGTTCCCTTTCTTTTCTTTTCCCATTTATTGGTTATACATCTACATTATACTCCTTCTGAGTTGTCAAAGTGTAAGTGGATATCATTACTGTATAAGGCTCCTCCTCCTGAATTACCAGAAGAATACAGTTTTCACTGTTGCTAAATTATAAGCACGAAATATATTTCTATGCATATGTTTTTTATTATTGTGGTTAGATTTCTTTGATTTATTGAGCTAATACAAGGACTTGACATTAAGTTTAGATGTAATTACTCTACTTATGATTTTTCAACTTTTTCTTCCTTTTTAAATTTCACTCTTTCTTTAATGAATTGTGTTCCAGATGATTCCCTGTATATGATTGGCTGGTGTTGTGACTTGCCCTTTAGACCCAGTGTAATTTAGTCATCCTGGAGAGAGTTCACACAAATCCACAAACCATTTTCCTTAGGATTGAAAAAGGGCACATTGGGATTAAAAGCATGTCTGATCTTGTAGATATGTGTTCAACAAACATCAATTTACACAAGAACAAGTTTGCCTTTAATTTAACATTTGCCATACATCTGTATGCAGACTTTCAGCCCTCAGTAAATCCCTGTAGCGCCTATGACTAAATTGGACTGCTAACAAAAACCACAGATTGTGTTACATTTAAAATAGATGAAAATTGTCAAATTGGGAATTAACCAATAAACAACTTTGTAAAAGATCGATAAAGAACATGCATTACTAAGTATTTAGTAAATCATGAAAGTTGTTAAACTCTTGTTATTAAACTACTGTTATTTTACCCTTATGTTATTGTAAGATAAAAGAATATAAGTCCATAAGTCTATGTCAAATGCACATTAAAATAGTTTATATTTACATTATAGTTTTATCTTTTTATAAAAGGGAACAGAGAAGTGGTCATGTTTGAAACATGTATAATTTCTAATCACTGAATGTAAGCAAATCAATGTAGATTTAAGCATAACAGTACTGTGTTGTTGTGCAGGAGAGGAGGCTGTGTGCCCACCCCTTCATCGAGGTCTACAGAGCAAGACACATCCAGTACATCACCCCTCTGGCTCGACAAGGGGACTTTTATGTCCCAGAAGTCCGGCCACTGTCCACACACGAGGACTCCCTCAGTGAATCAGATGTATCAGGTTGGAGATCTACACACATTATTATCAGGACATTGCAAAAACATCTTTCGAAAGTGTATGTGATTTTTGCAGCACATTATACATGTTTATATGGAGCCCATGAGTACAAGACTATTACTCATACTGGTCTTTTTTTTCATTAACTGCAATATGTAAACCATCATAACAAATTATGTATTGATAATTTACAGTAACATCATGCTGGAGGTGTTCTACATGTATGCCTATTGAAGGAATGTTCAGAAGTTACCGTTACAACCTATGAGTGTTCATGGCTCTGTTTAGGTGTTTGATTTTAAACAAAAAAGTGAGAGTGACTAATTCAAAAACTGTTGGCTATAATGTCATTTTAAGTGTGAGACTTGTTTAACAGCATGAATCATCTCACCTGTTGTACTTCCAACCAAATTAGATCTTTCTGGTCAGATTGTGTTAAAATAAAGCTCAGATTGAGTAACACAGCTTCTGACAGAGTAGTGCTTTCGGTTAGCTTCACGCACCCAGGGAATGTTGATGACCTCAGCTGCAATGTATCAATAGGGTAGTTGTTTATTTTCTCAGGTCACCTACTATCTGTGTGCGTCAAAACAGCATGCTCAGGCAATATTCACTTCAATGTTCAGCCATGTCTCTGGTGGGACCCTCGGGAGACTGGCCTTTTTCCTACAGCCTGGTTTTGTTTATGAGCCACACTGCAAAGGCAAACTGTGATTGACACGTTACAAGGTGTTAATGAAAAGCACCAACACAACAGCTTGGGATGGGCCAAGGCTGCAGCTTTGGGGGGGGGGCAAGGGTGCAACGGGGGGCTGCCCACTGTACAGCCAATGCCACTTGAAGCAGCATTTAAAGGCCCATATTATGCTATTTTCTGATTTATGTTTCTCATGTTGTTTACTCATCATAAACATACCTCTAGTTGTGTTTTGTTTCATTCACACATGTTTAACACACAAACTCTGTATGTTTAGGCTGAGTTCTTCTCTCAAATAGACAACACACTGTTCCACCTTGTGATGTCATGCAATAATACAGAAAGTGCTCCAGTGCTTTTAAACTGCATACACCTTCGCTAAAATCATTTATATGATTTAAGGCCTGGAATTGGTAATTAGGTTAAGTTGAAAACTATCACTAAATGACATCACAAGGTGGAACAGGGCGTTTTGAGGTTTGATGATGTAGACAGACTAATAATGCACTCAAACATACTGTATGTGAATGAAACAAAACACAACTCCAGGTAGGTTTTTGACGACATCTTACAGCTACAATCAAATTATATTCAATATCATTAAAGTTTCTACAAGTTTAATTTGCAGTTCGTAGTAAGTTGGCAGTTATCTTAGAGTGTAAACAAATTCATGCTTTGGAAATTTCAAAAAACAAAATTCAAAAAGTTGTAGAGTCGACTTGGTTTTGTTGTTGAAGATGTTTTGGTTTCCATCCTACTTTTTCTTGCTACTGTTAAAAGGCTCAATATATAAAGAGGAGGACTAAGGAATTTTAGTTTATGTCATGGTTTTTAAACAGAAGTTGAAATGTCTTCACTTTAAAACCTTGTTGACATATGTAGAAAATATAACAATTTTCTTTATTTTTGTAAAAACAGAGTGAATCACTAGTATTTATATAGCCATATTTTAAACCACGGTTGACCAAGCGCTTCACAGGTTTAGGATCACATAAAAATACACTCTAAACAACTGAAAGCGTATTATAATTATACAGATCTTTCAATGTATATCTGTCATGTAGCAAGTTCATCTATTTTTCCATCTCCAAGGCTTCCCTCAAAATATTTCAAAACATTTTGCAGTATTGTCCTTTCAGTGACTTGTGCACACAGCGTACCCCATCCTAAGAAAGAAGGGGGTCACTCGTCCCCTCTCTGAGCTCTCCATTCCCTCATATAAGTGTGACAGATGGGTCGCAGTGCAGCGTTGCCGTGACGTTTGGGCTGGTCTGTGTGAATGATAATGTGACAGGTATCCGCTGCTGCTGTCACCGTCAGATCGGCTTCACAGGGTCACCGGGGGCAACAGGGACACAAGGGCTGCTGTGGTTCGCTGCTTTCCTCCAGTCACCACTATACACTGCAAATAACAACCCACCAAATATCAAAGATTTCTGTCATTTCAACCATATCTAAGCCAGTCTCACTCAAAAGGGCTTCTCAAGTGGAAAATGGGTTTTGAGAACTGATTTTTAAAGCAGTTTTGAAGTGTTAAAATATTATTGCCAGTAATTAATTTTGGATGTACTTCAGAGCTATTTGTGACAGAATATAAAATCCACATTGCTTGAAGAATATTTTAAGCCTTAAGATTTAAGAAGCTTTAATTTGTCAAATTTAAAAAGCTCATTTGAAGCAATATATTTTAATAATGCATTTTTGTTTTTTTCAACCAGGCCAGAGCAACAACTAACTTCAGTCACTTAGATAACTAAACAATTTTGTAATATAATAATTGTGATCATGCTCTTGACATTAACGTCATTGGCAGAGTGGTCAGATCCACTGACCCACAGGTGCTGTGCGATTCCAGCTCCCACAGATAGATGCTGTCATTGTACCCTTGGGCAAGACACTTAACCCACCTCGCCCCCAGTGTCTGCGTACACTGGTATATGAATGTGTGTGAATGGGTGACTGGTTCCTTGATGTAAAACACTTTGACTGCCTTGAAGGTAGAAAGGTGCTATATAAATGTGAACATTTACCATTTTAATTGGTCAATGCACAGACTCCACAGGCTCACAATAAGAATGCATTTTTGACTACAGAGCTACTCAAATCAAGATTTTATATTCCAAATTCAGGCACTTCTTATTTCTAAATGGTTCATCTTTTCTAGATACATTTTTGTTTGAATCAGATTTTCACAGTCAATGTGAAATCAGTTTCAAAGAGGCAGCTGCAGTCCACCCATTCACTCCGCACTCCAAAACTAATTCAGCCACAATATCAAGAATTTCAGCCATATGAACATATATCTAAACCGTATCTAAACCATTCTTAGCTCAAAGGGATCCTCCATGTGTCATGGAAAGGTTATTTATTCCACATGAAGTCTTCAGCTGTGACAAGCTGTGTGCACTAACACAGTGGTTTAGCAGTGCTGTGGCGTGTAGGTGGTGTATTTCTCAAAATAATTTACACAAAGAAGAAAAATCTTATAATGATTGCACTATTTTGGTATAGGACTGTCAAAAAATGTAAATCCATACCAAGACCAAGCCTACTGACACTACAGAATTCACTGTACAGGTATGGGTACGGGTACGGGTACATCATACATGTATCTTAGGGTATTGTGGTACCAAGTTTCTAATGTTAGTGCATAGCCTTTTCTTTTTTTTTTTTTCTCCAAAGTGAGACAAGACATTCCTAACTCTCTAAGTTCTAGTGAATTTGGTGTCGAGTAGCTCTTTATGGTTAGGGTTGTAATAATATTGTTTTAATTCATGTTAAATGAGCATTTTCCCTATACAGTTTACCATAAGACCTTTTACAGTCCGAACACTAATGAAACTACATGTATCCCTCCCTGTGTTTAGCCCCTCCATCAGACTTGAGGAAGCAGCTCTTTGTAATTACAGTCCTCTTGAGCCCCATCTTCATCTGTCTCTCTGTCACTGACAAGCACACAGCTGCCACTACACGTTACACAAAGCAAGATTTCACTGTTTAATACCACACCAAATCTATTCCCCCAGAAGTCGTGCACATTGATTACCTGACAGGGACTGATGCTGTAACAATGATGAAATATGCATCTATCTTTGTAGCCTTGTGTGTCTTAACTCATTAATATTTTGGTGACGTATTCCTGTGTTTAATTTTGCTTTTTATTCATAAATATGTACAGCATATAAGTTATAGTGATACTTAAAGTTGCATTGTGTAACTTTTCTGGTGGACCTGGTCTGTCAAATGGTTTTCTCCTTGAAAATATTACTGTTTTGTCTGGAGTGTTTCCCAAGATGGTATTAAACTTTTCAGTCTCTTTAGAGGTGAAACCAGACCAAGTTACAGGTCAGATCTGTGGAGAAGCCAGCTCAGTCTCAATGCCTGTTTGTGATCAATAAAACCACCTGTAATTTTATAAAACTATTTAATGTCATACTGTTTAATGTCATACTGCGGAACATTCCAGGCAGAGCAATGACTTATCCAGAGAAACAAGCAGGTGACGGACCCTTCACCAGAAAAGTTACACAATGCACCTTTAACTGTTTGTCAAAATCAAGGGATTTTTTTCTCTCTAAACATATACGAATTTTCTTTATTTATATCTATACTTTTCTCCACTGACATTATGATCACTGCTCAAATTCTGAGAACATTTGGTACATCTCCCATCACATTTCAGTTTGAAAAATCTTTTTAAAACCCACTCTTCTTTGAACCAACCACTGTATTATTGTATTACATTGTATTGTATTATTCAGAGCATTTACTTTTTTCTCTTTCTTTTGTTAAGTTTCTATGATAACATTTTTGCTTTTATTCAACTGTGACATTCTTGCCTTTGTTCAACATAAAAACAATGGTCATAAATTAGTTGTGAAATTCTAATCATATCAGTGGTGTCTGATAAGACTTTTTTTTCACTGAGGAACATATCTGAAGTAGAGGGCCACAGGCTGGTAGTCAATATAATGAGTCATTCAGATGGATGCTTTTCACACTACTTTGACAGCGCCATCCTATTTAGTATAAGACTTGAAACATTCATTTTAGGCCTGTATCATAATGCAATGGGAATATATTGATGTCATATCAGTAAGAAATATTTGCAGTTAAAAATTCTGCCTATGATCATTTAGGCCATAGTTTGGACACCCCTGAATTATATATTCAGTTAGTAAATTGGATATTCTTTAGATTCTTTAGACACTGATCAGACTATAATGCAGCTTATGATCAGATAGTTTTTCACATATAATGGGCAGAGGGGGTTATTAATATACTGAAACCTAACGATCACATAAAAATATATATATATATATATATTTATTTATTTATTTATTTATTTTCATTTATATATATAATACTGATATTTTCCTTTACTTTGCATTTATTTACATGCATATCTTTTACAACCAAGTGACACACATAAGAAACTGGTTCTGTGTAGGAGTTTGATTTTCAACAAAAAGGTGACCTTGACTAACTGAAAAACTGTTGTGATTGTTGTGCTTATGACTGTAATTTTTTGTGAGAGGGAGTTGTTTAACAGCACAAATCAGCTCATCTTTTGTAGTCCCAACTCAGGTCCAAGTCAATTCTTTGTAGCCAGACTGTGTTAAACAAAGTTCACACTGAAGTCTAACAAAGCCCCAGACAGACCATGCCTAAAGTTAGCATCGCGCCCCTAGAGAAGGTTGATGACTTCAGCTGCAAAGTATCAGTAGACCTTTGCATAACATGACAAATTTTGAAGTGTGCTATATTGCTGAAATAAATATGCACCATAAACGATAATAGTGAAAAGAAACCCTAAAGCAGAATAGTCCCCAAAAAGTATTTTAAATCTAAGCTACTGCAAAAAAAACATGATTTCCAAAAAAGAAGAATGAAACACAGTAAAATGAAACTCAAAGTAATGAGTTCTGTAATGAGTTATAGAAGTTCATAATTTAAACTACAGTTCAAATCTCATATTGCAAACAAAACAGATAAAAAAATCCCACTAGTGCAAAGAAAAATACATAATACATACACAATACATACTGACACCTAAAAACTATTGTTCTACCTAACATTTATTGAGCCATAAGATGAAATAGTAATTATCATGACAGGCCAGCCTCTGTATCTCCCACATGAGATCTTTGTCCTTGATTTTGTACCATCTCCTCTGCTCGACTTAATTACTGCTGGCTTAAACTATGGAGATATTGATTTGCTGAGAACTGTATTTGAAAACACAAAAGCAAAAAGGTCAACAGTGCACTACCTCCGGACAGGTTTGAAACTCATCCTAATAACTGCCAACGCACAAACTACCCAAACACGCTGGAGTCAAGTGCTTGGACATGATCCCATCCAATTAACAGAGCTCAAGACCTTTTGCTTAGAGGAGGTTTTAATTAGCAACGTTTCCAAGACTATTTTGAGTTACAGTCACAAGGTGTTGATGCTGACTTTAGTTCATTAATATTCTGCCTAGAGTAAGATAAGCACAAAATATACAGTGCACCTCCTCTCTTTTTCATGTTTAAACGAAAAGCATTTTAACAAGCTTCATGTGCAAAGTGTCTTTCTGAAGAGGCTTGCGTTGGTTTTATTAATTAGCTCAATGCCAAATAAGCTGCACACTGATAAATATAAGAAGGAAATGAGAAATTAAAGGATACTGCACCTATAGCAATTTAAAGTAATTTAAACATCAAAGTATAGCTATAAAACGCACTGTTACAGCAGTTTTAGTATCTGGATGTTAGTTGTTCATTATGCAAATGTGAGGGAAAGCCTTTTTGAAGAGAAAGTGGTTGAAAAAGGGACATATGCTGAGCTTTAAGTTGAAAAAAGTATTCACTCTGCAATTTATGCTAATGATATCAGGTTGATGATTAGTCTACTGAACTTGTTTTAGATTCATAGCGTAAATCCCTTACAGTTAAACAACATAAAAACTTCACTCCTGGTCCAGGAACATTGACACAAACAGGCAAATGTACAGCTCAGATCTGTGCAGAGAAGACCCTGCTCACAGTAAGAATTCAGGGCATTTATGAGTATTTAAAAATATGTAAAGGGGAAAGTGTTAGATAGGTTTAATGCCAAACTGTGGAACATTCTACCATTCCATGGGGTCAAGAAGATAGTGGGCCTCCAGAAAAGTAACACAGTGTGCAAAAAAAGCCTATACCGGAAGTAAAATGGAGCTTACATTTTAGTCTAGATTTCATCATTGAAAGTGGCAGAAGAAAGGAACTTGTTTTTAAAATAAATTATATATATATATATATATATATATATATATATATATATATATATATATATATATATATATATATATATATATATATATATATTATATATATATATATATATATATATATATATATATATATTATTTTTTTTTTTGCAGAACTGGTTGTGTCTACAATAAAACTGCAGAGACACAAGAAAAGGGAAAAACATGTTCAATGAGTATGCAGAGATAGTTTTGGTTCTTCCAGTTCTGAATTACTAAACCATCATCCTCATCAGCTCCACACAGAAATGCCCTGCCCACCTCAAAACATTGTGAAATTAGTTAAAAAAAGAGTTTATCTTTCAGCATTTGAAGCAACCATATGTGTGAGAGCTTTTGCAACAAGGATAGATTCTACATCATGGAAATTACACTTCTCTTCCTCATAAAGGGTTGCTCTAATCTACTCTTGTACAGTTTGGTTGCTTTGGATTTGCTTTTCTTTTACAATTATATTAAAGACAAAGAGTAGTTTTGAGCTTTTTTGCCCAAATTATCTTGGTTTTGGCCTAAATTACCTTGCTGTGTAATGCAAGGTAATTTAGCTACTTCTGTTAACTTTTTCTTTGATTTGTGTTACACTTCACAAGTCTCAAAGCACTTCACTATATTCATTATTATTCTCTCCATACTCAGTTGTGGTTAGTTACTTGTAGATACTGCCAGAAGCAAGGCTTCCACTCTGCATCATGACTGGTCCCTTTGACAACCACCAACGTCTCACTTTCACACCTTTCACACCCTGCCTAAGTCCACCATATGCACTGACCAGAGCAAAGATCGAGCCCCAAATGCCCTAACCACACTGAGTCCCTCCCATCCCTTTCACACTTCAGTGCTGTTCAAAATACATCTTTAACACTTTAGAATAACTACATTTTAATAGCCTTAAGGAAGCATGAAAAAATATCTTAAAATGATGTTACTTCCTCAACAGCATATCTGGAGTTGTGTTTTGTTTCATTCACACTTTTGAGTAATCTTTTATTATTAGTCTCTCTATATCTCCAATGTTGAAAATGCTGATGTAGTGGTAGTTTTCAAGTGAACCCTTTTGTTCAGCAGAGATGGGCAATTCCAGAGCAGAAAATCATCCAATTTATTCTAGTGAAGGTGTATGGAGTTAAAAAAGACAGTGGAGCACTTCCTGTATTACTATATAAGATCATAACTTGGAGTTGAGTGTTTTCTGATTGAGAAAAACTCAGCCTAAACATCAAAATTGTGTGTATTAAACAATTGTGAATAAAACTCCAGGTATGTTTGTGATGAAGAAACAACATAATAACAGATCAGAAAATAGTATGATATGGGCCCTAATTAATATCTTAACTCTCACTTAATTGTTTGTAAGCCTGAATCACTCTGAGTAAACTATTTGTTCTTTACGAATCACGCCTTTCTTCATACTTTATTAGGCATTTTAAAGTGACACCCATTTATCTCATGTTTTTTATTGTTTTTTGCTTTTATTATCACACATAGATTTGTTTGTCTCACTAACTTAGCCCTCTTTTTGTCTCATAGGCGCAGAATCAAACAGTGAGTGCAGCCTGGGTAGCGGGGTGGCTCTGTCCGACAGCAGAGAGTCCTCCTTGAACAGATCTTCAGTCCATTCCGGTCCACTGAGGGGTTCTTGTGATAGACCAAGCAGAAGCAGGAGATCCAGATCCAAGGAATGGAGCTGGGATCAACATGGCCAAAAAGAAGGAGAGAGAGGAGACGCGCTGTGAGGGGGAGTCCATCCAGAAGAGCCAGGAGGTCTCCACTCAGGAACTGTGGGGAGTGGTGGGAGAGGAGGAGTAGAGACTTAACCAGTAACAAATGTGAATGATCTTACCTCAAAGGGCTGTAAATGGCGTCACAATCAAGTGATAGTTTGGGCGATCATAAGTGGCACATTAAAATTTAAAGATGCTCTATGTAGCATTTCTAGTGGAGGATACGCTACCTGTGTCCATGAAGATGTTTGCTTTGATTAGATTGCTCCAAAAGTATGGCAGTAAACTAGTTTATCTTCATCGTGATAAGGTGATGACAAGCAGGTTACAGGTCAGATCTGTAGAAAGGAGACCCAACTCACTGTAAGAATGCATGTTTTTCAGGGGATTTTGAACAATCAAAATACCCATAATCATCCTAAGTAAAGTAATAGCAGACAAGTATTTAGCAGACCTTCCATCCTCCATCAGAAATGTTACATAGTGCACCTTTCCATGTGATTTGGTTCATTTACCAAAAAGCCTAGTATAGCAGAAGTAAAAGGTCCTTTTATTTTTAATCTGGATGTTGATTTAAAGTGGCGCAACAAGGGACGCAAATGGAATTGAAAACTGTGAATAAATTGTGGCTTTTTGTAAAGCTGCTTGGTTGTATCTGCAAATACAAAATGATGATTGTGGTTATTGTAGTTTTAAATTGCTTAATAATCTGCTGACATCCATAGAGGGCTTAATATAATTGACATGCTTGATTAGCTTTAAAAATCAAACTGCCACCATGTTTATACCTCAAGTATTTCTGTTTTACAAGTGCCTGTTGGACAAAACCAAACGCAATTCAATGCAAATGTCTACATATGGTATTGATTTTGATTTTGTAATAGTACTGACTGTGACTCTTCTTTGCAACTTTCCACGTGCTGTACATCAACAAGCTACAGTATTGTGCAAATGTTCAGTTATTTCTGTTTGTGTAATATATTGAAGTTTATAATATATTATATGTCTCTGGGTTTTCTTCGCAACTTCCAAAGAAATTTATGTAAAAATGAATTGGTAACACTTAACAATAACTACACTTTAATACACATAATACTACACTTTAATACACATAATACTACACTTTAATACACATAATACTACACTTTAATACACATAATACTACACTTTAATAGAGCACAAAGACTTAAGTCATAATTAACAAGTAAGTTTTTTTAAGAATGATTCAGACTTAGTAACTACGTATTAATACTCCTAATCTTGACCCCTTAATTAAGTAGTCACCAGGCCTGAAGCATCACAGTGGAACTAAACTCCAAATCCACTTTAGCGTATAGCATTAATTATCTACTGCCCTAGTTGGCAATTTCCAGTAGTTGGTGACATTTCGCGCCTTAGCCCTGATTACAGCTAGGTATTTCTGATTACAGGGGGGCGGAGTATGAAGTGTGGGTACGTGTTAGACCAATCACACTGTTCCTCATACTCCCAAACCCCACCCCTCCTCTCCTCAAGTTCTATTTAAGATTTATTTGTGGCCGGAGTATGTTGTATGTGTAGTTATTATAAAGTGGTACCAAAAAGTTGCCCAAGGTTACATGCTCTAGCGTTGAGGGAATCATTAAGGTCAATTAGTGTAACAAATTGACTTTTCTGTTAGTTCTGGTTAATACGGTTCACTTTATTGTCATCGTAGGTTAAATTGGTCCTCTGCATTTGACCCATCTTTCAAGTCTGGACAGTAAAGTTGTATCTTATTTTAAGGTAATATATCAAATAGGTTGATTTATGGAATATTTTCAACTGTTCATGTGCACCAACATGTCAACAATGAAGTCATTCTCTGGATGGCTTAAAAACTGCTTTGTACTCTGAATATAATTCACTTGTTGTCGAGATTAGCTGGTCTATGCAGTAACATACAACCGGAATGATGATGATGGCGCCCGTGGCAACTTCCTGAATGAGGTGAATAGGTCAGTATATCAGAGCAGAGGGACATTGTAGGGCTGCTTCTAAGGACCTGCTCTATCATCCAGTCTTGAACTGTTTGGTCAGGACTACAGTATTACAGTATTGTGCTTGCTTATTCTCTGCACAATATTTACTTGAAATATCATGCATACACAGTCGACCTCTTTTGTTTTTTACTCTTGTCATTTTGAGCTGCCAGGTTAATCATAATTAAATTTAAATCACAATTTGAATGGTTGTAATAAGCAAAGGCTGTAATTTTTGAAGTATCATCATTTCCTCCATAAGCAAACAACATCTCCTGTCTTATTTGCATGAAACTGCTAACTCTGTAGTTTAGATTTGTACAAACTAGTTCTGAAATGTGAATCTTCTTGTTATTAATCCAAAGTGTTAATTTTGTCTCCTTTTGTATATTAACTTTCTGGGTTCTTTTTCTAAGACAATACAGTAGGAGAAGTATTTGCCTTGTTGACATGTTTCGGTTGCTAGCTGGGACAGTTCTGAAGAAGGCTTGCTGGCTGACAAGGTAAATACATCTTCTGTACTGCCTTTAAAAAAAAACTAGGGACTTACTATTATTATTATTAGTTTGTCAGTTAATAGGTCCTTCTTTTTGGACAGTACTTCTGGATGTGTTTAAAATGTGAACTTTAAACAGAATTCTATTACTAAAGCATAAATCAAAACTCTTGTTTAAAAAAAAGAAAAGAAAATGCAATTAGATATTTTTCTCCAAAGCAGTTCAGCTCTACAGTAATTTGTAACACACAATACACACATTTGCTCTGCCATTCCAAAATGTGTGGATGTATTTCACAGGCACTGACTCATAAAGGCCTGTTTTTACATCTGACACATGACTGTTGTTTATTATTGTGTTAGATGATAATAGTGATATCACAAAGCTCTTTTTCGTGATGTGGAAAAGTATAAATGAAAAGCTTGGATAATTATGGCCCTCCTGTATTCACAGCGCTGCCTCCTCTCCGCCCCATCACGATTCGTCTGGGGCCCACATGACAGCCCCACTGACCATTAATATTCATTTGACCAGGTTTACACCACATCTACAATCAACACAACCGCTCCCAAATACATCCCCTGTGTTTCAGCTCTATTTTCTTCTTTTTTGTGTTTGTTTGGCTATTGCTTTGTTCCATCTGTCATCAAAGGTGGCTATTGTTATGTCAAAAATAATATGAATCTACCAAATTTTAGTCATTCAAAGAAGTTGTCAATTAAAGATACTGTCAAACTTTTCTGATGAATGGTACGTCACCTGTTTGTCTCAGTCTTGCATTTATTCAGTTACAGGTGTACCATGGACATAGATTTAGTGCTATACTGTGAAACATTTCAGGCAAAGCAATAACTTCACTTTGGAGTTGAGCAGAGTTACAAACCTTTAAAAAAATCCATCAATCATTTTTGTATTTGGGAGGGAAAATTTCTTTAGCAATTATTAACTCAGTACAATATTAGCCATTTGATTTTTTAAAAAGTGCTTAATCTGTCTCTAAAGGCATTAATGAGCAAGTGGCTAAAACATATACCTAGTTTTCTTCTTCTTTCATCCTGCTTAACTGTGAATAAATATTGGAGATGCATTCATAAGGCTCACCTGATAACGCATAGGGCCTGCATTATCCCTATTCTCCAAAAACAAGAGGAAATCCACACTACGCTGCACCACCGGTGGAGACAAGTGAGTCTGTATGAACAACTCTTCACACAAACCTATTTCTCAAATGCCCAGTCTGTCCTTCTATAGTATTAATAACAAGTAGCTTATATTTAATAAAGATAAACAATGTACATACAGACCTCCACCATGGAATAGTTGTTGCAATCTCACAATAACATCAAAACCGACAGATATACTCTGCTTAAAGAGCTTAAAGATGTGTCTCTAACTTTTGAACTAAGGAGTTTGCCACCTGCTTGTCTCCCTGGAGATACCATTGGGTCCGGTCAAGCGGTAATGGAGGGGCAGATTTTTTACATTCAAATAGCTCTTATTCAGAAACTAGAGGGACTATTGAAATAAGTAAGGTATCAGAATGTAGGAAAGAGTTAACACTTCAACAGGGTAAAGTTAACCCTGCGACATTCTTCCAAGTTGTTGACAAAAAATTTAAAAACTCATGTCGGTAACGGAGGGAATGAAATATGCAGCACTTTTTGGACAATAAATACAAACAGTGATAACTAGCGGTTCTCACTTACATATCCTTAACAAACTGGTTTGAATATTTGCTTCATATAGTTTTCTACCATATGGCACAATATTAGGTTGAAAAATCTCTTACTTTTTGAGTAATGAGTTTTTTTTTATTAAGAAAAGTCATGGTAACGGAGGGAAAATTGTGCAAGCAAGTAGAAGGTGCATGATTTTGCATAATTTGTCAGCTTTTTTCTTCCAAATACTTTAATATTACCATAAATGAAAGGAAACTATTTCTATAAAATATGTCAGTCATTCCAAGCAAATTTTTATCATTTTAAATTTTTTTTTTTTTTTTAAATCATGTACCTTCATCAACAGTTCAAAGATCGAAAAACAGGTGCAGGTCTTTGAAATTTGGGAAATTATTTTTGTTCCATGTTGCATACATGGTCTGTTTAAAATGTATGTAATTTTAGAATCAAAAATGGTACAGAAAAAAGGTCAACAGTTTCATAAACTAGAGTACATATGTATCTGTTGAATACATTTTTATATCTGATGCATTAACTTGAATTTTTGGCCTTGCTGTTTACTTCTGCTTGACCGGGCCCCATTGCTTTGCCTTGAATGTTCTACAGTATGCCATTACACGTATATGTATTGCATTTACTGGACTGTATATATATATTGTAAATGTGTGTGATGTTGGCTCTTTCCATATTTGACTTGTAACTTAACCTGCTGTCGTGATTTTGGGCTTTCCAAAAAAAAAATTATAATTGAACATGCTTGTCTCCATGAATGTTTTAATGACTTCAAATGTCCTTATAATTACTGGGGTTTACTAAAACAAAACATAAAACTACTACGGAGCTCCAAACCTAAAAATAACAGTATAAACATGTATGAATTGATATCATCTCATGCATCAACAACTGTGGTTAAGACTCAAACTTTGGCAAAGTTCCAACTGGCATCGTTAAACCCCACTACAGCCCAGTCTTTTTAAATAAACACAATTCATTAATTTACTCCATCCGCCTGAGTCTGCAGAACATGGACAATCTATACAGTTTGCTTTGTTTATGTTTTTAATCTAAATGCTGATTACTCTTAAATAGGGCGATAGGTCCCAGTGGATAACTTTTAAATGAGATAAATGAGCTTCAAACACAGAGGAGTTGAGAAGCCCTGGTGAGAGGGGCAATTATAAATATGCAATAAGAGCATTTTAAATGATGTACATGATACTGTATGAGGATTTCTATGTCAGCTGTTGGTTCAAAGTTGTGTCGCCTGATAGATAGATGATAACAATGATATATAACAGAGAAAACTTGATCACATAATAATCTTTAAGTCTTTAAAACTAACCCCATATATTTTAAAATAAATAGACAAAGTGCCCACTTGCCTTCACCACATTCTGGGCACATACAAAGTCATGCGATTTACTTTCATTCTGCAATATTACCCCAAGCCTATACAAAACATGTGACTTGAATTTATATTGGATTTTGGCTCTCAGGTAGAAGTGCTTATTCCATTTCTGACCATCTAGCCCTCTAGCTCTTGGTTGCGGTTCCCTATAATTTCCCCCCGACATTAATTGGCATGTTCCTATCTAAACTGTGCAAGCCACCCCCACACAAGGCCTGAACTCTGTAACGTAAACCACTATTCTATTCGCAGAGGAGGAAAATTGGCCCCTTTGTGTTGCCGTAGGAATTATGCAACAAGCCCGTGTTGCTCGTCATTTTAATTGCCTGCAGTTTAGGAGAAAGTTTTCAGCAAAGTGTAGTTAGTGCGAATGGAGGATCCTAAAATGTGTTTTGTATATTGAAGACATTTGGAGACAAGTGCCTTCCCGACAGGCAAGCAGCACACTCCACTTAGATCTAATTGAAATAGTTTGTTTTGTGGCCCATAGTTACAGGCGCAAAGCAAGCAAGAGAGGAGCTGGGCTTTTGACAAATCCACTATGGAGTGTTCACTAATTATGCAACGATTACAGGACTGCTGATGTAATATGGACCTTCTTTTGATTGTTTTGTTTGGGCTAGGAGTAAAATGCTTGAATTTGGAGTTACATAACAGATATGGGGTCATTCAAATGTTAGTTAGTATTTAGGTAATAAGATTGTGTGGTTAGCTAGTGAGGGCTAAAAATAGGAAAAAGTCAAATAGAGGTAAATGTTTTTAATAAGGCCCATAACTTCTGTGTGTTACATAGGGAATAGAATATGCTCATGTATGTTCCCATTAAGCCAAAGCAATTCAACAAACTGGCTTTTGTTTGGTAGAGTCCCAAACGCTAGTAGGCCTCACTAACTTCAGATGGCAAAAGCCTATATCCCAGCAACCACGGGTCAAAGTTGGGTTGCACTGGGATCTAGACAAAGGCTATTTGACACAGGGTGACTCACATGGAGGCACCATTACTCACTCACACTTTACTCACTTTGCGGAAATTACATAAAGTCAAAAAATAGATTAAAATAAAAGCTATTATACAAGTTAATATTTTGAATGTTTCATTGCACTGGACTTACATCTTCACAAACCTGACTCTTATGGCATGTGGATACGTAGTTTTAACTTTCTATGTCCATGAAATGGGGTGTGCAAGAATATCAAAATATTGATATATTGCATCATATGATGTGATAATACAGTATCGATATCATTGGCTGCTGTATCGATGTATCACCAAGAGTATTTTTTGGTATATTTTACAAAATTATTTTGTTACAGTGCTACAGTTTTTTTGTTTATGCGACACATTTGACATTTTCACTGTTTTGATGAGTAAAATGTTTGTGTTTCATATTAACTTTGTGCAAGTGATTTAACAAAGACTTTTAGTATCACAGCCATGATTTAGCCATTATTTTTATTGAACCATATCGAATAAATTTGAAATATATTGTATCGAATCGAAAGTTCACTGTATCGAGATATCTATCATATTGTGGCCTATGTATCGAGGTATGTATCGTATCGTCAACTTCTTGATGACACCCAGCCCTATGTACCACCCACCTCCACAAAGTGACTTGGTGTAGCTTTAAAGGTGCACTATGCAACTTTTCTTGTGTAAGATCTGTATGGAGACAAGTAGGAGCTCAACCTTTTATTTCGTCCAGAATGTTCCAAAATATAGCATTAAACTTGTGTATGAAAACAAGCAGATGGTACCACCAGATGACTAAGTTACTGGATCTGTGGAGAGGCCTACCCAGTTAAAATGCGGGCTTTTCATTGTATTGTTTGAAATATTAACAATTGCATTTGAATAAAATAAAGATGAAATGTAAGTTTAATGCCATACTGTAGAACATTTCAGGCAAAACATCTCCATGGAGACACGTAGCCTTGACGATGGACCTATACTAGAAAAGTTACATAAAGCACCTAGAGCACTTAGATTCACACAAACTTACTGTCTGCCAATTAAGAGTTTGAAATGCCATAGGCTGTTACTCAGTTCGATCGCCTTTGAGTTCTAATGAGACGGTGGAAGTAAATGGGGACAAATTCTTCAAATTCTTCGTATAGCGAACATGGCAAGCATTCATTTTTCACAGTTAGAAAATACATATGGGAATACATATTCTAATGAGCGTTTATCATATAGAATCAAATCGGAACAAACGAAATTGGCTCCACGGGAAATGTCAAAATGAGAGACGCAGAAGTGTTTGCGCGCTCTCAGACGCGCCTATTATTGGTTTCATTATTTTCGGCTCCCTTCGCTGCTACCTTGTGAACAAACGCTGAGCGAAGAGTGAAGAGGCGACAACACTGCTCTGGCTTTCATTACACCGAGCAAGGCAGCCTGCACGAGAGAGAGAGTAAGAGAGAGAAAGAGAGAGCGCGCGCATGTGATCACCCAATCCACCACGAGATTCTATGTAGCCATTCTTTGAACTTCACTCAAACGCGTCTTCACAAAATTCTATACAAAGCTCGTAATCACAATTTTACACATTTTATCCTCGTCGACTCTCATCAAGGCGCGCGCGTAGTAGAGTAGGTAAGGGGGGATTCTCCTTTTATGCATCGCGGGATTTGCACATAAAGGTAAGTCAGAAGTTTGTTTGAACGAGACTTGCCCGCGCTTCAGAACCAAGGACAGATCACCAAGAAGAGGCGAAGCGGCAGTCTGGCAAACATGCCCGAAGAAGTGTGCAACATCTGGACACGGCTCGCCACATGAAGCATCTCCCTCGCAAAGACGCACAGCTGGTGGAGAGGACACCGGGAAAACACGACTAGGAGCGACTATCAGGTAAGCATTTTTGCCACTCAGTTTCACAGACTTATCAATCAACGCCAATTTTTTTTCTTCTTCTCACGGTTTCAAAACTGATTTCATTGCAGATCATATTCTTAAACGCGTAACCCAATTTATAGCTACACCTTTTACGCGCCACAAGTTAACATTAACAAAATCATTTTCTTCTCTTAGATTTGAATTAGCGGTTTGCTCACGTTCCCAATTACGCAGCGTAAACTTTAAAAACGTAGACATGCCGTTTGTTCCTCTTCAAAGTGAAGCGTGATTACATAATATGTCAAGTTTACTATTACTGCTGTCACTATTGTCCAAGGAATCTAGATTCTTTACCAAGACACTCTGTTAGTTTCATTATGGCAACACTGACACTTATTTTGTCTCAGTAAATACCAGAACTACACGCTAATTTCTTCCATTATTTATTGTCGTGATTTGTACAGCTGAATTAATTATGATGTTTTTACAGCAAAAATCACTGTGGATCTGTACACCATGCAGTAACACCATTTCAAATTTAGGGAACTTTTTCAGTTTTTACAAATCCTTGTTACATGCTTTTGTTAAGAGTTCTATTTATAACAACTGGATGGTTAAGAAATCGAGATTGTGTGTGGTGCAGTCTCAACGTGTGCTTCAAATAATCAAAGCTTCATTCAACTTATTGGAAGTGGCGTTGCTATTACAGTCCACCACTACAAATTACTATGTGGTTATAATGTTTCAGTGAGTGAAAATAATTAGGCAAGGCAGTATACAAAAATAATATGCAGTGTATGTATCTTAGTGAGCGATTGAGTCATAAGGTGAAGATCATATAGGCACTGGAAACCCTCTCTCATGGGGTTTGATGATGTGCTATGTGTAGAAAACAGACCAACTGACTATTGTTCAATTTCAGCCTTATATAAATGTTGTGTCTTTCATATGCAGTGTGTCTGTGCAGAGGGGATTTGCTAATTACAATTTCAATCTTTGTTTTCTCATTCAGTGACAATAAATCAATCAATCACTGGTTCACATTATTGCAATCATTATTTTGTAATGAGTAAAATAATTAAATGTGTTGGAACATGTCATAATTAACGTTAGTATCTCATGCATATGTTGAGGTTTATCCCCCACGTAACATCAAGAAATACAGAACATTTCCCCAAACTTGTAGCTATATTTTTTGTTTTCCGATTTTGTTGTTTTCTCTCAATGGGATTTATTTGTATTGGCGTCTTCTATGATGCGCAGATGGATGGATTAGCTGCTCCCGAGTCAATACCAATATGACAACCTGCAAATATTGGCTGTGAGAAAGTAATTAAGACTTTCTCAAGTTTTTTCATAGTCCTATCCACATTTTAAATATTAGGTTTGATGACATGTTTGGATCATAAAATTGCCATATACTTAATTAAAAGTAAAGGTACATAGAATAACAACTGATGACTAGTACAAAATACTGTTACCAATTTGGTAAAAGTATAAAGTATGTGAATGAATGAGCTAATCTAAACTAGTACTTCTACTCTATGTTACATTTTATACAATTTTAATAGTATTCTAGACCTCAATCAGACCTTTATACATGATTAATTAAACCATTTAAGGCTGAAAGAAGAAGTTTTAAAACAGAATCTGCATATTCTCCTAGCTCTGTTATGTGTTTGTGGGTTTAGAAAGGACCAGAGACAGCCGTTAGAAAACTCTCTAACTTCTACTCAAGTACATGTACCACTGCATAATTAAAATCAAAATCCAAAAGTGAAGTTATCCTTAAAATCTTCTCAGTTACATTTACTTGAGTGTTTGTAATTAGTTTCTTTCCACTCCTGCAGACGTCAGTGTTCATCATCTCTTAAAGCTAAATTCAAACACAGATGTTATTTTACCATATGTTGAGTCTGTTTGACAACCTCCACCTGCCCTTAACCTCCTGCTGTTCTTATTTTCTCGCCCGAGTTACATCATTTAGCGTGCACTGTACAACACCAGTCACTGTCGCTAGAGGCCACTTTGCTGTGAGTCATCCCATTACACACTATAGACCTATTTAGAATAAGACATGGGTTCTCAAACTGTGGTGTGGGTCTCACTGGTGGTACAAAGCAAGCTCCTTTAGTGTTATTTTCCCAGGAAAGCGTCAATCTAGACTAGACTAGAAGTTTATCATATTTTTTAAATTAAATTAACAGAATTATCTGATTAGAAGAAGTTCTCAAAGTTCAGATACCAGTAGTGATATGTGGGCTGATTCTGAGGGTACAGCAGGGTTCCTCTAAAATGAATGTAGATTTTTAGGCAAATCTATTCTAATTTTTGTCTTTATTGCTTACTAGTCTACTACTGCTTTAGATTAAAGATGCAGAATTCTTTTCTCATGTCTCATCATAATATACACTGTAAAGTTATGTAGTGCTATATTATATTATATTATATTATATTATGGTATATTGGTAGTTAAAATATTTTCTATGATGGCAGGAGTTTTTTTTTTTCAAAGACTGAGGACCATTGATGTAAAATCAGAACCCGTTTCTCTGTGTTAATGTTGGTCCACATCCTCCCTGTGCATCTGTGTATCAGCTCGGAATAAAGCACCATGCCTTTTTCTTTTTGAACTTGGATTTCAGAGGGAATATTGTGCCGCGGAGCAAAGTGGCTGCATAGAGCGACAGTGAGTGGCTACATTAAGATACTTCTAATGATGTGATCAAAGCCTGATAGAGGAGACTTGAGATATAAGCAAGTCCTCCCCATCTGCATGCAGCAAAAGATTTACTGTTTCTTACTATTCAGAAGAAGGTTAACACTGGTGCAATAATCTACCCATATCAATTTAACAAGGATCTTCATGTGCCCATCTCAAGCCTTGATATAAAGGATTGTATCAGGTATTTGGTATGAAATATATATTATAAAAAGCACCTATCATTTCATATGATTGCATCAAATGATTCAATTTGTACATTAGCGTGTTTTGTCCTATAATTGCAGTGATTGCATAATTTGTCTGCAGAAAAGTTCAATGTTCAGGAAGCTGAAATTACTGGTAAAATATTGTTATAATGAAAAACTGGTTTCTTGTACACCAACATGCTTTGCTGTTAGCCCCATTTCCCAGAAAAAGTGTAACCGCAAAAGTTGTCCAAGATAGGATTGGGCCTCAAAATCACACCATATTGTATTAAGCACCACAATTTTTTAAAAGATCTAAGTTGGATCAGCCAACTTCTTGTATATAAAAGTATAAATGCAGTATTACTGGTTATGGATTAAAAGTTCTCTATGTAACATTTATGATGGGTCTTTTGCCACTTGCTTGTCTCCATGGATATATTATTGCTTTTCCTGGAATGTTATATTGTATGGCAGTAAACGTGTCTATCTGTTTATTAAATTACAGTGTTTTCATTGTGATAAATGGCTTGGGGGTTTGCCTCTCCACAGACGTCACCTGTAACTTCACCTCCTTGTCTCTATGGAGATAAATGCCATACTTGATGGTCCAGGCAAAAAGCTATACCACTCCATCATTCCCCTTTTATTTACAAAGCAGTTCTAATGGCAGAGTAAATCCATGCTTCATGTTGACATCTAAGGTCCTAGTCACTTCTTTCTTCTGGACGTCCTGCTGGGTTGTGGGTTCTGTCCTATTTACTCAGGTCTTGTCTAATTGGCTGTGTTTTACAGCACCATTAATTTGGACATGACCCAGTCTTAGCACCATGAGCCCCCATCTGCTGCAGACAGACCAGGGCAGTTCTCATATACTCGTCTTCATCACTCTCTCACCTCCGAGCTAAGAATAGGACCATGTTACAGAGCCAAGCCAAACACCAGTGCCGGTTTATCCTGGATGTGTTATGGACTTTTATTCAGAGTTTAGCACATTAACCATTCACCTTCTAAGCCAAATTAAAATTATATATCTATTTTGCAATTGTTGCTTCAGCTTCTGCATTCTGTGTCAGCAGCTATGGACTTTACACCTCGGACAGTGGTTTAGTCAAAGACATGCACAAACAGCAATTTAAACTCATGAGCAATGTGGAATAACCAATATGGTGATTAACACAAGGAGGGAGGTGGAAGAGGTTTGAACCTGGTTTAGTCCTGATGTAGACTTGTTTTGTTCCTGTTCTAGTCCTGGTTTAGTCCTGACCTAATCCTGGTTCAGTTCAGGGTTTAGTCCAAATTTAGTCACAGTGATGTTTTGTGTGAAATTGTGAATGCTGTAATGATTTCATCAAATGCTATAAATGGATGAGTAAATAAGTAATGAGTAAAATACATAAATGTATAATAGTTCATTTTATTACATATCAGGTTTTTGCGTATTAAGTATAACTATTCTCGTAACAAAAAACATATTACACTGGAACTGTTGAATGAATTTTTAATATAGTCATTTTATATTCTTCAGTCTTATCTCCTCTAATATATCTGCGTTCATCAACATTTTATCAAGTTGTAATCTATCCCTTTTTCATTCCACCAAATCATCATGAAATCTGAACGCATACTGTGTATCTATTTTTAGTACTAAATTCCAGCAGGTAGATTCCTCATGTGATTTAAATGAATGCACAAAATAATTTTATAGTATTTAAATTGTACGTACTTTCATTGTAAGTTGAAAGTCGGCCAACACAGTCGTACACGCACTCGTAATATCTCTCACATCTCTTCAATATTAATTCATATTACATTGTCTGTGGCAGAGTAGATAAAGATTCTAATAAGCCCCCTACTGTTTGCTAATAAAGGCTCTCTGTGTCATATCTTAGCCAGGCTCTCCAGGCTTTTCCAATATTTCCTTCTAATCTATATGTAAATACCATATATCTATTTGAAATCAAACTTTGAATGATCGCTCCAGATCATGCTTAACCATATCCTTTAAAGTGCATGTGCGAGGTTAAACTAAAAAAAGGTCAAAAGTAATTTTCCCCTAGTTTGAGAATTTTTGTTTAGGATTTTTATGAAGTTTATATTATGTTTATGTGTATTTATTACAGCATGTACAGCATGTAAATATATAATAATATGTTATAATAGCATAACTTGAAACTAGACTGCAAACACATTTATTCTGTTAAATCAGTGTTCAAAATATTAAAAAGAGTATTTATTGCTGGTAAATTGTCTTTGAATTTGGGAGGGAATTTTGTAAAGTGAAGACAGAGGTATTCATTTCTAGAACTCAGTACTTCCTGCAATACATCACGAACTGCCATGTGTCCTAAATTTAAAACTATGATTGATATTTACCACAAGTACCTATTATTGTAGAAATGATTTCATTTTGTATTGCACATACAAGAAACAGCAAGTTTGTGTTTAAATATATTTATTAATTTCACAATATAATGGAGGAAAAAAAAACTAAAATGCCACACACAGAAAAATACCCAATGCCTCCACCCACCTCTGCTGTCACCACTGCAGAATACAATTAATTGCACTGCAAATTAAAAATACACAAAGCCCATAAAACAAATCGACACACATACAAAAATTTTAATATAGGTTGAATAGAAAATAAAGAAAGCCATCAAGGGCTAGCAGATGTTAATGATTTATCGAAAAAAGATTTCCACACCTTATAGAATTTTTGTTCAGAACCACACAGCGTTTATCTAATTTTTTCAAGTCTAAGATTAGAAAAAACAAACAACAAAGGAAGTTTCTTGGCTTGTGGTTAGTTGGTGGGTTTAAAATAGTATTGTTCAGTAGAGATGTATAAAGAGCAGAGTCTGTTGCTATAGTGCCATGCTTGAATGAATTGTATTATATAAAAATCTGAACTCACCAAATATCTTTAGTGAACAAATACAGTGACATCACCTGCTTCTAATTCTATAGAGACAAGCAGGTGGCAGAAAATGCACCAGAAGATGTATTTCTCTGGGTGAATACTTGTATTGTGTCCTTGGGCAAGACACTTAGCCTGGCTCACCCCAGTATCTGTGTACTCTGGTGTGTGAATGAGTGAGTAGTTCCTTGATGTAAAGTGCTTCGAGTGCCTTCAAGGAAGAAAAGTGTTGTATAATAAATTTGGACCATTTACTCATTCAGGAAAATCTATATTTCTTTTGTTTTGTTTTTTCTTGATCCTTTAAATGTGGATGAAATAACTAGAATATCATAGTGTTCAGAAATATCTTAAAATGCAGGAGTGCCTAAAGCTAGACATGGATCATCCAGCAGTGCCGCATGTTTTCGGATGGGCACTCCAGGCCATTGAACTGCACATAGCCTATACGTCTGGCTGCCCTTCACTGCAGCGAAACTCATACTTTTTACTTACTCCTGGTTTCTATGGCAACCGCACTCATTCACGCGGTTATTGGCTGTGTGTGTCATATCTGCTCAATATTACACTTTATCTGAGAAGTACATAACATATCTCGTCAATGCAGAAGTAAATTAGTCAGCTTGGTGCACTGGGAAAGCATAGATAAAAAAAGCAATGTCTCACAATGATAAAGATGTGTTCAGAAGTAGTTTGGTAGTACAGAATATGCTAATAATAATATGGAGTAAATATGTGGGTTGAAAGCTCTATCCAGTAAGAGGCATTATTTTTCCCTATGTCAGTGTACATGAAAGATTAGCTTGGGTATTTTTTCAACCTGGTTAGGATTATATATTGTGATTACAATACCTCAAATTGGTATTAAAGGCACAAACAAAGTGACAATATTAAATGTGCAATATCTAACTTTTCTAGTGGGGAGTCTGCAACCTGCTTGGCATTGCTTTGTCTATAACATGTTTGGGCAATTATGTTTTCCATGGGGCCACATGTAAAACAGAAAATATTGTGGAGGGCCAGGCCAAAATGCTTAACTCAATTCTGCAAAATATTAATTGTATTTCTTTATAAAAAGCACCAAATATCATTGTTTTGACACGCTGGTAAGACGGGTAAGAGTTCATGTTATGACTAAGCAATGAAAAAGGAAGTTACCAAAAATATAATTTAAGAAAAACACCTCTAAAATAAAAGCAATGCAGTTTAGTCCATGCATGAGGTAAAATTATTAAATATGTTTATTTTGTAATTCCAAATGATACACAGGCTGGTCAGAGTCAACCAAAGGGCCGTTTGTGGTCCGGGAGCTGCACAATGCCCAAGTCTGGTCTATAATGTCTCACTACTGCAGTCCCAGTGGAGACAAACAGACAGCTCTACCAAGCCAAGTTACAGGTCAGATTTGTAGAGATAAGAATACATGTTTTTCAAGGAATTGTTAAGCAATAAAAACACTTGTAATTTGATAAACACCAGAAAAGGTGCATAGTGTTAGCCTGATTCATCAGCCGGTTTCACTTCGTAGAAACCGTCTGACCTCGCAGCATTAGGATTCGTTCACTCCACGGTAGACAGTTACTTTTTATTTAACCAATCGCTTGGTTGTGGCCTATGAAATGCGCCGCTAACAGGGCTAACTGATATATTAAGCTTTTCCCAAATCCCATAGTCAGAAGGGCAATAATGTCTATCCCCTTGATAAAATTCACCAAACATCCTCTATATTCCAGTTTTAAATTAAGTCCTCGATCTTGGGAATTGTCAACACAGAATGTATGGTTTCTTTACATCCATATTGACCCCTTTGTTTATTGTTGTGCTGTTCCACAAAAGGGACCCAGTCATGGCTTCACAGCTCTTCGCTGATTGGCTGGTGCACGATCTACAACTTCCGGAGTTCTTGCAAACCGTCTAGTGTATTCCGATTCCTGACCTAGTCGCTGGAGAGAAATGAAATTGAGCGGAGGCACCTTTACTTTCTGATTTCCCCCCACCCCTTTTTTTTTTTTTTTTTTTTACAGCTATTACAAGTGTACTGTATCAGCATTTTGCCATAGTTGACTGAGAATTGCATACATGATTCTGTTGTAATGAAAATAGCCTGTCCTCTTATGTCTTATGTATGAGAGCATGCCACCTGATAAAACTGTCTCAACAGCTGCATCAATACAAATGCCATTATGTGTCTGTAACATATCTGAGGATCACATTACACTCCCAGATTCTGTCTGACTAACTTATCATTCCATTTTATCTTTTGTCACCCAGGCTCTTTCAAACATGTTCAAGCACCTCCCTCCAACTTCCTCCAACAACTGTGAAAATTACGCATCCATCTAAAGGCTCCAGTCCAGTTACTTTACCATGACGAGAATGCTGCATTGCCCTGAGACATTTCCAAAACCCGGTAAATTGACACATTACTGGCCCCTCCATGTGATCCTACTTGAACTGCTCCTACCAGGCGTTTTACCAAGCATCTCCAGACTGTCCCCTACAGCCAAGCGTGAGATCATCATCGAAGGAGACTTGGTAATCGGCGGACTATTCCCTGTGCACGAAAAAGGTGACGGTACCGAGGATTGTGGGAAAATAAATGAAGAGAGAGGCATACAGAGACTAGAAGCCATGTTGCTAGCTCTGGATGAGATCAATGCTAATGATCGCATCTTGCCCGGGCTGCAGTTGGGGGCTCATATTCTGGACACCTGCTCCAAGGACATGTACGCTCTGGAGCAAGCCTTAGAGTTCGTGAGGGCATCTCTGACCAAAGTGCACGACCCAGGCTTCATCTGCCCCGACGGGTCCCGGCCCATCCAGAACGAAGTCCCTCTTGCCATCTCAGGAGTCATTGGTGGCTCCTACAGCGATGTGTCCATTCAGGTATGTAAGATAAGGTGCACCTATAGTTATAAATGTATGTTGACCTCAGGATGTTAGCTTTACCAATTCATTTTTCATTTAAAAGTGCACTGTCTAAGTTTCTACTGGAGTCTGCTACCTGCTTGTCTCCATGGAGATGTTATTGTTTTGTCTGGAATGTTCCACAGTATGGCATAAACATCCATCTTGCATTTACTCAGTAACATCTGTCTTTATTGACTTAAAAACTTGCATTCTTACTGTGAGTGGGCCCACCTGTCCACAGATCTGACAGATAACTTGGACCTGTGGTGTCACCTAGAGATAAATAAATGTTGTGCCATACTGTGGAATATTCCAGACAATATCTCCATGGAGAGAAACAGGTAATGGACTCTCCACCAGTAAAGTTACAGTGCATCTTTAAAGTTCCTATATTACACAAAATTCACTCTTGAGCTTTAAGACTTGTTATAATGCTGTTCCCTCCTCCAAAACATTAGCCTGATTCATCAGCTGGTTTCACTTTGTGGAAACTGTCTGACCTCAGCATTAGGATTCATTCGCTTGACGGTAGGCGGGTACTTTTTTATTTAGCCAATCACTGCTATTTGGTTGTGACGTATGTAATGCACCAAATCCCATAGGAAGAAGGGCAATAATGTTTTTCCCCTTGATAAAATTCACCAAACTCTCACCAATTCTCTTTGTTCTGGCTTTAAATCCTTGATCTTGGGAATCGTTGCCAACACGGAATGTATGTCTTCGTCTACATCCATCTCGACCACTTTGTTTACTGTTGTGCTGTAGCACAAAAGGGACCCAGACAGGTGCTTGAGTTTGACGTCATGGCTTCACAGCTCTTTGTTGATTGGCTGGTGCGTGGTCTACAACTTCCAGGGTTCTTGCAAACCATCTAGTGTATTCCGATTACTAACCTAGTCACTGAAGAGAAATGAAATTGAGCGGAGGCACTAGGTGATCCTAACCTGGTTACCAAAACATACCCGTAGTCATGTTTGCTTTATTATTAGTCTGTTAAATCTCTTAAAATCAACATGTTCTGTTCCATCTTGTGATGTCATGAAGCAGTAGTTTTCTAGTTAACAGCTCCATTCACCTTTAGTTCAGTAGACACTGGCTGAAATTATCCAAATAATTCTAGTGAAGGGTAGGGATAGAGTTAGTCTAAAAACACAGTGGAGCACTTTCTGTATTGCTACACGACATCACCACATGAAACAGAGTGAAGAACACAGCCTAAACATGTCTGAATGAAACAAAACACAACTCCAGATATGCTTTGGTGGGGAAACAGTATTAGAACATAAATCAGAAAACAGTGTAATATGGGCCCTTAAAGATTACTCATCATGTCTTCTTATCAGATTCTTTTTTGCTGATGGAAATTACCATTTAAATGTGTCAAGGTGATATATTATCTCTTACCTATATTTGTCAGATATACAACAAAAATGTGTTCCTTTTTAGCCGATAACTTTCCATTCTGTTCACAACAAATCTCAACTCAACAACAAAATCATTTGTTCTTGTGGTTGGGTGAAAAAATGGTCTTGTACCACTATAGTGTCATTCAGTACTTCTCTATTTAACACATCTCTATGTTCAAACATTGACACTTTTCCCCACCAACACCCGCAGTCTAACAGCGCACCAGTGATTGACAGGTGGATTTAAAGTGCATTATGACTTATGAGGTTAGACTACTCATTTTACTAAAACATTATAACATTACATTTTTTGCAAGCTTTTACAAAAAATTATTTAAAAAATTGCCCTGTTGTATATTTATTTTGTTAGATTTTTTGCAGTTATTTATTTTATTTTTTTCAGGTTTATGATTTTATTTCCTGGTTGTATGTTTCTTTTCATATTTTTCACTAACTGAAAAACATGAAAAGCTGTATGCGCTTTAACTAAATTACTTCTATGATATCACTGGGCTAATAAACAACATTCAGATATTATTTTTTGTCAGTGTAGTCTACCCTGCTGCTATACACTTTATTTTTCCTCCTTTTACCTTAAATAGTAACTGACAGTTTTCACAGACATGAGAGTCTTTCAGGAAACCAAAAGTGAGACATTCGTGAAGTTTTTCTGTGTATTTTCTGACTTAAATAGAAATGTACCAGAAATGTACAGAACAATTTGACCTTTCACACGTGTAAAAGCCAAACGAAATTCATATGAGCTTTGTTAATTAATTCCCAGTGCTCACCCTATATTATTGTTACCCACAATGCACTGGAAATGACTGTGGGAATCATTAAGTAAAATTTTCATGTACAAAGATAGAATTGCATATGTAAAAAATACTATTTGTTGATGAAATATAGCACAGGGAGAACATGAAATCCACAGATTAATCTTACAGACGCAGAACTCACACAATCAATATCCATGTTTGTTTCACACATGAATTATTGAACCTAAACAGCTAAAATAAAAGAGCTACTATACATGTCAATATATTGTCTCTGAAGAAGAAATAATAATGTTTTATTGTATCAAATAAAATAATAAAGGATGCAGGGCAGAACGCAGACAAAGTAAAATGAACTAATGAACTGTACACGCAGAAAAAAATCCATTGCACATAAACACAGAGGTTGTCAATTCAATTCGAGCTCTGACTAGTGCATACTGTCTTTGGGCAAGACACTTCACACAGCTTGAATTCTTTATGTCAGTCCAGGGCTTGCATTTATCCATTTTTAAGTTGAATTCTTACTAAAAGTGTCAAACTTCCTCAATCTATGAAAGCCCCAACACATAAAGTTCTGAGTTTTTGGACTGAACTGCTTCTTTCCACTACAAGTTGACTTTATGATCACAAACTTAACAGGGAAGGCACACAGTCAAACTTGTCATTCTATGTTCTTTATTTTTACTACTTTCTACATTTTAGATGCCTACAGAAGATGTCAAACATATGAAATAAGACATGGAATTATGTAGTAAAAATATATGTATTTGTATATTTTAATTTAATTTAGTTTCAAATGCTCAAAGTAGCCGTAGTTTGCGTGTCGAAAAACATTTAGTATGGTTATTTGTAGTTTTTTCTTTACTACTACTACAACCCCTCCCCCAAAAATATACCAAAAAAAGTACATTGAATCAGGTGTGTCCAAATTTTTGAATGGTAGTGTATGTATACTTTATAAACAAAACCTCAGGGCAGTTGTGGTTGCTGAAGTAGCTTAGCACCACTGTGTAATCAATAACTTTGCACCTCCAGAACAAAACTATCAAGGCTGTAATCAGGGATCAAATCAAATACATTCTTGGTTGGTTGAACAAAGACATGCCCTGTGCATCAATTTATTGACTAAAAGAAAGTGTGGTGAAAGCTCTGATAACTGATACAATATCACATGAGAAAATAGTATTTAAAGAAAGAAGCACCATCGTAAATGAAGAGGTAGATTAAACTGCCTCGTTATTCCCAACTCCAGACTCACTCCCTTCCTCACTTCATGCATTCTCCTTTCTGTTGTGGTAAATATATCCCTACAATCTTATATATATAGTTTGTTTGACTAAGACACCATCAAATGACTACAATATACAAAGGAAATATTTAGTATTTTCAATGTTTATTACTGCTAGAACATGAATTGACCTTAAACTTTTGATCTGTCTTTGTCCAGTTTGGCATAAAAACAACAGCTTCTTATAAGTGTGAAGTGTTTTGAATGAGAGCAATTCTTTGTCCTTTTTCTTCTGGGTACTTTGAATGAATGCATAGTTTGAGTAGCTCTCTCCTTCACTGTCTTTGTGTTGTAATGAAGCCGGCCGTGTGAGCCACAGGATCCTCTGGACTGAGGTTTACACAGATTCCCATTTAAAACAGAGAGAACACTCTGAGAAGAGCAGAGCAGTGCAGGCTAATGAGAGGATCTGCTGGTTCCCATCTGTAGGGTGTCGGCACAAGAGAGGGGTTCACATGAGCGGAGAGAGGGAGGGAGGGAGGTAAAGAGAGAAAGGGAGGGAGGGAGAGGGTGAGGGAGAGAGACAGGAAGGATAAGAAAGCGGGAAAGAGAGAGGAGGGAGAAATGAATAGATAGAGGGAGACAGGGGAGGAAGAAGAAATAGAGCAAAAAGGGATGAGTAGGAGAGGGAGTCAAGAGGAAGGAAAGGAGGGGAGACAGGAAGGAGGGAGGAGTGGAGGAAAGATGTAAGAGAGGGAGGAGATAGAGAGGAGAGAAGGTAGAGGAAGAAGTGGAGTAGAGGAGAAAAAGAGAGGGGAGAGGAGGTACATGGAATGAGATGAACGAAGGAGAGGAACAATGTAAAGAATGAAGGATGGAGAAGAGGAAATAAAAGAAGGGAGAACATAGAGAAGAGAGACAAAGGAACAATTAGAAGACAAGAAAAAAAGAGAATATGACAGAGGGCAGAGGAGAAGAGGATGAGAGGAAGAGTGGAGGGGAAGGGAGATTTGTGGAGATGGCACTTTCTCAGCTCCCTCAAAGGACAACACTGTTAATTTGCCAACTTGTATTTTTGGCAGTTTCAGCCGTTTGCTCAACCACAGTTTGTCAAGATTTCTACAAACATGTCTCTTCATTTCAGCACAGAAAACAATATTTATGAAATACTTTTCCCCTGTACCCATCACACTCTGATTTACAATATTTGAAATGCGTACTCAAAATACTGGAGCCAATACATTCTCCCAAATGTCTCAGAAAGAGGAAAAATCTCGACTCTGCTTCTATGATAAGAGAATATTTGTCTCAAGGAAAGTTATTCATAATATTATGTGCATATGCTGCGCCCTGCTGTCAAAAATCCAATAACAGATGAGGAATATACATTGTCTTTTATTAAAATTATTTAGTTGTTTGTCTATATTAAGACATGTCAAAGAAATACACAGATTTAATATTGAAATATCTATATATCGTGATATTAAATTTGGTGATACAGTGCTTTTACTTGTGGGCTGCTGTATCAATATATTGCCAAGAGTATGTTTTTTTTATCCTTTA